CCAAAAGTAGATCAGAAGGCTGGGACACTCTGATGAAGAAAGGCTGAGAGAGTCATGTCTGTTCATCCTGGAGAAAGTTCTAGGGAGATCTTATTGCAGCCTTTCTGTACTTAAAGGGAATTTTATAAGAAAGAAGGAGAGAGACATTTTACCAGGGCCTATAATGATGGAACTAAGGGCAATCAATTTTAACTAAAAAGGTCGATTTAGATTAAATAAAAGGAAGGAATTTGTTATGATGATGGTGAGGCACTGGAACAGATTGCCCAGAGAAGTTGTGAAAGCCCTACCACTCAAGTGTCCAAGGTCATGTTGGGTGGGATTTTGAGAAACCTGGTCTGGTGAAAAATGTTCCTGCTTGTGGCAAGGAGGTTCAACTGGATGATCTTTAAAGGTCCCTTCTTACCAAACTGATTCTGTGGTTCTGTGGTTGTAAGCTCTGCTGGTTTTTGTTCTTGGAAGAGCTAGGACTGAGCCACGCTGTGTCTTCTCCAATGTCTTTTTATAAAAGAAGCCTCTAGTTCCCACCTCTTGATCCCCCCAGGAAAGCTCATGGGCCAGGCTGGCCCAGGACAGAGCCAGATGAAAGTCTGAGTGCTGTTTATCTGCACTGGGGGCTCCAGTTGTGAGTCATGCAAAAACATCCCACTGGTGATTCCCTTCGTAAACAAACAAGCAAACTAGAAAGGAAGTGGAAAAGAAAACTCACCTACCTCATACCACAGATACCTTTGTTGCTGTATCACACTGGGCAGGGCCTGCACATCTCCTTCCTTCTTGCCTGACTCCTGCATGCATCCCCACATGGGGATGGGAGCTGTGTCTGTGGAGATGCCACATGATGGCAAGGAAGAGCTGTGACACAGCCACTCAAGCCTTGGTGTGCTCACAGCCCAGACTTGTGTTAATGCAGGTACAGGGGTGAGCGAGCAGGGAAAAGAGAAGGTGGTGTACTGAATCTTGGGTGTCACAGCAAGGAGAGGAAGGGATGGCTGATTATGGGCTTGAGGAGATCCTAACAGTTTCATGTGCAAAAAGAGGATGAATTGTGTCGACCCTGCAGACACCTCCTCTGGGTAATGCAATTTCTAGCTGCTTCTGCAATGCAGTGACCATGCGTTCTTGTTAATTACTGCTAATTGAGGCAAGAAGTGATCTAAAGATATTTGCTTATAGACTGCCTTATATTGCAGAAGAGCTTTCAAAGGACCTAAATGTTGTAGTAGCATGTTACCGCTGAAGATCAATAGATCACGCGAACACAGGTTGAGGTGTGGTGCAAGAAAGAGCAGAGTTTATTTTTCCTCCCAGGATTTATAGGCTTCCTACCACGGCCAGGGATTGGATGGTCAGGATAACACTTTCTCACTGCACTGGCCATGAAAGATGCCCATCACAAGATGTGTAACAGAAAGAATGTACACATATCTATGTTTATAGTTACTGTCCTGGGAAAGTCCTTAGAAAACTATGTTAGCAAGCTCAGAAGCTGAATTTTCAGGGTGACAGTAGCACATACACATTTGATTGGCATCCAATAAAAACAGATGCTTTAAAATCACTGAGCTGCTTCTGAAAATCCTGTTTGTGAATCTTTAGGATACGAGTGCAGCCAAGGATGGTGGAGGCCCTGCCATGCCCACTGCAAGCCTTCAGATATACAGATGGTGACAGGACTCTGTAGCTTACAGACTTGTGGAGAACACTCAGAGCAGGCAGCCTAGCAGCTCCTTCTCACTGCTGGCCACAGTTCTAGATTTTGGGATCAAGGTGACAATACAGAGCAGAGGTGACAGAAATCTTTGCTAATGACTGTTTTCATGTGCAAACATAGCAAAAAGAGCTGTAAGTGGTTGGGCACCTGTCACTGGTGGTTATTGTATTCATTCAAAGATGAACCTGACACGAACAGGTGCTGCCCTCTTAGGAGGGAAAGGTGAGATCTTGATGTTCCTCCTTCTCTTTACTGGCAGGAGTTACAAAGATTTATAGTGTGAGCACACTGCTACCTATGCATACTCCTCACTGGCTTTCAGAGGCAGGCCTTATCAGAGTGTGTATTTTTGGCAACACAGTGAAGTCACCCTGGTTTCATACTAAAGCTTTTCTTGTCTGTGGCAGTTTTATTTAAATAACATAATAATATCCCCTAAAAATCCTATATATCAGCAAAAAAGATTCCCCAGAGCTGCAGCCATCAGCAAAAATAAAACTTCAAGGGTTTGCACTGCCCACAGGTGAGGGATGAAGAAGCTGATATGCAAAGCTTTGGCAGCATTGCTGGTACCTGTGGCAGCTCTTTTAGCTGTGGCATCAATGCTTGTGAGCTTTGGCAGCTCATGCTAGACAAGGAAAGAAAATCAACCCAGAAACAGATATATAACCTCTTAAAATTGCCCACATTAAAGCAGCCTGCTCCTGAGACCCCCAATGAAAGCTGTCAGGGAAAAGTGACAGAATAAAAGTGCCTAACTACCTTTTCCAATCTAGGCTTAAATAACTAACAAAAGCTATAAATATAGAGCATCTAAAACAAACATCTTAATATCAGATTTATGTAAGTATCAGGTGCTGAAGCATGCCCTCTCCATGATAGCTAGGAAACCACTTTTAGCCAAGCCTCCAAAACAACAGAATATAATCCATCTCAGTGCCAATTTATTTACTTGTGATGCATCAGAGTGGTTGATAGAGGCAGGGTAAAAATCTCGCACCAGTGAATCACTTCCACACCAACATGAGACGAAGCAGTCTCTGTGACTACTCACTCTACCACATTTCCCTGTCTGCCTGGCTGCACAAAAGGTGAGACCCATCATGTTGTGGAACCATAGATTCTTGGAATGGAAGACAAGTATTAATGCCTAAGAGGTACCATTTAGATTTCTCTCTTATCCCAGCTGATTGGGATTACTGATTTTTATGAGACTGAAGGAAATCCCCATATTTAAGATTGCCATCTGTCCATCCAATTCAACTGAAATCAGTCAAGTGGGTTTTGAAGTTACTGGGAAGAAGAGAGGAAAGAGAGGTTGTATAAATGATCCTGTGAAGAGGATAACAGTAAGCTGACCAAGCTGGTTATAATCTCTGCACTTCACTAACTTCCTTTGGTTATGTGAAGCTGTTATGTGAAGAACTGAGAAGTAACACTGGAAGTGTGGGCAGATGGTGTACAGTGATAGCATTTCTGTCACTACCTCTGTTCATCAGGCTCAAAATATTAAATGGGAGCAAAATCAAAAGTGGAAGCTGGAGTAAAGATCCTGCATGTCTCTTTCTGGAGGATGTGGGATCAAGTGACAAAGATCTTTAAGTCTTTAAGGGAGGTAAACATTTAAGAAACTCATCCTTGTGAGGAACCTTATCCTTGTGGACTCCAAAGACAAGAAAGGAGACTACTGACCTTGCTCCAGCTTTGTTTGCATATTAAGTAATTTACAGTTAACATTTTGAGGTTAGTTAACAAGCTGCTTTTGGAAAATATCTCCCCTTCTCTTTGCAGGGTCCTTGCCATCTCCTGCAGCCTGCCAAAGATGAGACATAACAGGATGAATTTTTCTACTGTCTGTCCTCATTTGGAAGATTCCTGAAGAATAAAGTTTCTGTACTTTTATATGCTTTATTTTGCTTTGTGCTAACAGTCTGAAGAGAACTGAAGTTGTGCATCAAGCACAGAAGTATAGATAGATAATCCTTTCTATCAGAGGGATTTGATTTCCAGTCACTCCTAAGTTTCATTGTCTTGGAGGTATTTTGAACAACTGCCATATAGAACAAAAGGCAACTCTTCAGCGTGGCTTTTGGCAGATTTACCACACAAGTCTGATGTCAGCACAAGAGCAAGATACAGATCTGCTTTACTGCACTAAACACAGGTATCCAGTGTAGACTACTTCTGAGGAAGCCTCCTTCAAAATCCACAACAAAGTTCATCAATAATACACTGCATTATACAACATCATCTCAAAATGATGTCTAAGAATTTGATGTCCCCATCTAAGATGCCTGAAATGATCCTTCACACCCTAAAAGCGGCTTTGTCCCTCAAATGGCTAGAAATGGAGCATAGATGACTATCCCACATGGAAACACACCTTACTGCATAGTGCAGTGAAGTGTTTAGAAGACACACTGCCCTCAGTTGAAAGCAATGTCAGATGTTTGCCTCAGCTACCGTCAGTCCCCCTTTTATTCTTCAGTCAATTATAGCAGGAGTTATTTGTGACTTCCAAGTGCCCAACTAGAGCATGTGAGCAGTGCTGTCTGTGCAGTGCCCACACCTCGACAGATCCATCACCAGCGTGCTGCAAACCATGGGCCGGGTGATCCCAGATTTTGCAGCAGAGGAGAAGTACCCTTGGTACCTGTGGCTGTTGTGCAAGCCACACACTGGGCAGTGGAACAGTGGGCATAAAAGAGTAAGAACCTGGCTGAGATGCATCTCACTTATATTTAGATAACCCATTAGTCACCCAATTCCCGTCAACTACTTATTTGTATCAGTACTTAATGGAATTAGGCCCTTCAGGCCCTTAAAGTCTGGATGTAGGCTGCTGCCTGCACTGTGGAACACTTTAATACATTTTAAACTCTGTTCCTTAATAAATATTTGAGGAAAAAAAGAGGTTTAGTCTGCCCTAATTGCCTGCCATCACATGCATGATTTCAGCTGCCCTGCACACCACTCCCAGGCCCACCACACCCTTCCCTTGCTTCATACACCTGCGTGTTGGGAGAAACGGGGAAAAGCCACTGAATTGTGGGAGAAAGTTCACAACTGGGGAAGGAGTTTACAAGTGATGTCAAAGCCTACTGGTGATGTGGTTTGTCATTGTGGCTGAGAAAGGAGGGGCAGGCTGGGGCACAAGCGCTTTAAAGGAGACTGAGGAAGTGAACCTGTGATGCCACTGCAAAGCAGCCCTTCAGGGAAAGCCAATTACCTACCCAGCCTCCTGGAGATCACAAGGAAGAGCACCTTGAGGTAAAACAAAGGAGAGATAAGGGGGCCAGCAATGAAAGGACTGGGACTGTTCATTTTCAGTGCAAGTGAGTACTAATTTGGTTATGTCCTCAAGGGTTGGGTGGAAGGAAACAGCACTACGAAGTACAAGGACTCCAGCACACTTTGTATGTCTCTTTTCTGTTTAGTGAAGGTTCTTCTGTGTTTATGGCCCGACAAGCGTATGTACCATCTCTGTGCTGAATGTCCAGACACACAGGCATCTCCCAAAACTGTTAGAAATGGGAAAAGATGCTGTTCTTCACTAAGTATTTTCCATAAACAACTTTATAAGCTTCTGTTAGTACAATATTTATCTCTGAAAAAGGAACTTCCTCCTTTGGAAGTCTCAGTTCCACTGCTTTTTATCCAGTCTCATATTCTTATATCAATGTTCCTACACCTTATTCTAAGCCTCAGACCAAGCAATGCACATGGGAATTTCTTGGGGATTTTTAATTAAAAATCCTGAAAACCTTACTTCAGCAAGACCCACAAAAAAGAAATTCACAAAGTTTAAAGTAATCAGAAAAAGTGGATGGACTCCACATGCAACAAATGTGACTTGGGTCATGGCTCGATGATCTTTATGTAACTTGTACAATGCCATTGGTATTCACTCTCCTTTTTCATTATTTTCACCTTTCATGCTATACAAATTAAGTATGGAGAACTTTTCAGAGAGAAGTATGTAAAATGAAGTTTTGGGGTTTTCTTTGCTTGATCAGAATATCAGTTTATTTCAGCAAACAAAATATTCCTGTAATAATTGCCCTTCAGTTCAGTTAACTACTGAGTAAGGAAAGTAGAAATGTCACTTTGACTGTCTTCTTCTTCTGTACAAGTACAAATCTCTAAGTTAAGCAGAGGGAGATAAAACCTTTCTCAATTTCTTTAAATGTTATAAACATATAAAGCGGTAACACACAAAAAAGTAATGCTGGGGCTTAAATGTAGGCGATATTGTCCCTCTGTCTCTCTAGTAGCATGTAGGCTATTTGTCCTCTCTCCTTTTTTTGGAGTTCTTTCAGAACTTGCTTCCCTTCCCTTCAGCCATATTTTGAATAGATTCTGTTTTCCCTCAAAAAAAACCAACCCAATCTCTGAAGAATAAACCACATCTTTTAAACATGCTGACTATGAAGTGAAATGCGGTGGGAAGTGGGAAGGAGGAAATCAGCCTAAGTCAATGACATCCCAGAATGAAACTGTTGCTTCCACGAGAGAGGGAAGCTCTTTCTGGGATGCAGAAAGAGATGTGGGTGACAAATGAAGAGCCCCAGAAGCAGTGGCATGTGAGGGTGATAGCAGCAGATGAATAAGTGTATTACAGGCTGTGCCTCACAGGCAGTGCTGGGCTCAGCTGCTCCCCAACTCTGCACCAAACATGTCTGGAAAAAAAGATCTTATTTATTGTAGGATTTGACTCATCCAATTGGAAGAAGGAAAGGAAGTCTTAGGGTTAGGTGGTTTCTTCTCTGCCTCAGGGCTCTGTTTATGACCTATCAGTGAGCCCCAGCTCAGTGGAACCAGTTTCTGAGTGACAAAAATATCAGGAAATGGGTTTTGCTCCATCTCCTAATACAGACAGTGTTCCTTTTCACCTAAATGCAGGGAAGTATCTCTATCCAGTCACAACAAGTGAGGAGAAAGCTTTCACAGGTGTCTCTCATACGGAGGGCATATGAAAATAGGAGTCAGAAAGTGCCTCGGGGCTACGCAAACATGGGCCTTGCCCTGGGTACTCCAGAGCAGGTAAAGATCTGGGAGTGGCGGCAATAAAAGCACATTAGAAATACTTTGCCCTCGTTTCCTCCTCATAACTGTCAGCAGTTGTAAATTAAATAATCCCCAAGAGAACAGAAGTCACCCCTGCCATGTCACAGAGGAAGAGGTGAACACACCTTGCTAATGAACTGTGGGAGCCCACAGAACAACTCATTCGTGGGGCAGGCATGCAGAAAGATGGGAATTTAGGCTAAAAGCAGATCCCTGTGCTAGCTGTCCCATGGCACCCTGTGTAATTAATTGCCTGAATTGTCACCCCAGGTTCCTAGTGCAGTGACAACACAACCTTTTGTGTCCCAACAGTGTTATTTTCTGAGGGACACTTGTTCACTGCTAGTCAGGGATCTGGCAGTGTTCAGCTTACCCATGGCGTTCATTTACTGACCTAGTGCACGGGGCTGTGTGCGTTTCCTGTCTCAAAAAGTGAATATTCACAACCAGTTTGTAACTCAAGGCAGAATCTAGAAATCTTTTTCCCTCTCCCTTATACGTTACACTTCCTTATAGATCTAACCTGGACAAAGATATGGCAGAATGAGGATCCAAGGTTTGCTCAGTGGCAACTTTTCAGATGAATCCTCTCCAGGGAACAGTGACTCAGCTTTCAGAAGCAAACCTTCACCACTACATGCAGCATGCCCCTCATGGGAGAAGCCCTCCTCTTCTTCCCTCCTTACTGCACCAGGTTCCTCTTTGCCATGGGACCACCTCTGAGCAGCACTTCTTTCCTTGCCATTTACAGTTTTCCCAAATGATTTCCACAAATGACGGTGCCATAAAAGAAAAAACAAACAAAAAAGCAACAAAAAACCCCAAAACAAAAACCTCAAACCAACAAACCCAAACACAGAACCCACACAAACTGTTAGGAGAAAGCAGGTGTTTTTAACCATGAATTCCTGCAGGCATGGAGGTCACCTATGGCAGGGCAGACACAAATGTCCAGCTCAATTCTGAGATGAACAAAGACCTGCCCACCAGGCAATGCTCACACATGATGAATTAAGAGCAAGTCAAAGGGAATTCAGTGTAAAAGAAACACCTGCCCTGTGCCCTTCCCCAGGGCACAGAGGGGTTTCTGTTTTAGTCAGCTCTCAGCTATTCCTGTGCTCCAGAGGCAGGAGCTGGAGTTCTTGGAGAAAGGTGACTACTACCTTACTCATTTTTTAAAAAAAGCTAAGAGCTATTCTTTCCTTGTTTCTTTCAATCACTCTTTGCTTCTCTAGGTTTTTCTGTTTTCAGGGATAAAAAACATGAACAGGTTTTGATTCCTTAGCACAAAATGTCACTTTTCTATGGATTTGGATCGAGGCAAGTTATTTGACAGTCTTCCTGATCCTTGAAATTTGACAATATCAGTTTGTTAGTTTAGCCTGAATCCTTGAGACTGCTGGTGCACTTGTAGTATCTGTTTATCTGTCTCCCTCTGTACATTCTGAACTGTCAAAGGGTGTCAGTCATGCTGAAGGAGGGCTCAGGAAAAAAAATAAGAGTCTTTCTAAACTCCATGGCAATATATGAGTAGGTGAAGACGAGGGAAGCAAGGGACAGAGAGCAGAGTTTAGCTCTAAGCCATCCTGTGCAGCAGCTTCCCAAGGCCAATCAGCCCCAGCCCATATCACCTCAGTGGGGAATGTCCTGGATGACAGGGAAAGAGGGGTTACTGTGGCATGTAAGGAAGCCAAAGAGACTGCCATGGGATCCAGATGTTGTTATTTTTGCTGAGTGTGGTATTTATTCTCTTTCCAGTTCTGGTGTCTGCTCACACCCTCACTGTGGAAGCACCGGCGAAGCAAATCCAAGTGGCAAGAGGAAGCAATGCTACCCTGCGCTGTAATTTTAAAACAAATGTTGTTATTGACAGAGGAGACATGGTTTTCTGGAGGAAAATCTATACCGAGGTAAACTGAGCTGCATAAAGAAACAGATGAGAGGGCATCCAAGAAGGGACAGGAGGTGGAAGCTGTGGGTGGGAGTGGATGTTGGAAAAAAAAAGATTTCTTCCAGACTTTTTTTAATCCCAGAGCCGTGCAAACAGAAATGCTAAGTCTAGATGTAATTTATCTCAAATCTATTGCACAACACTAGGCAAGCCCCCACCCCTCTTCCTCCTCTCTCCTGGTCTCACAACTGTTTACTGAGGATACATCACTGTATGAACATGCAAAACACTCAGATAATTTCTAAAAAGATATGCATATATATAAATATATATGTCTAATATACATATAGTATGTTTGATACTATATAAAAAGTTTTAAGTTGATAACAGTACATGGAGAGATTCTTGAGGTCATTCATTTGAAGTATTTGAACGTTAAGAAACTTTTTTAAGTTCTTGACTTATTGGGAATTAGTGAGGGGGGAAGCAGCCTTTGGAGATCTCCTTGCAGGAAGTGCCAAAGGTTTCTTCTCTGGAGATCCTTGCTGGGAGAGTTTGTGTAACCACAGGGCAATTTGACTGACATGGGCCTCAGACAAGTCTCATGCTGTCCTCTCCTCATGATGAGGAAAAGTGGATAAGCCCCAGCAAAAGAAATCAGTTGTCTCTGATTTCAGATGAGGTGTGAGAAGGGGATTCCAGACAGAAACAGAGATCAGAGATCCTTTTGAATTTCTATGTTTTTGTTGGCGTTTTCTCAAACTGGTGCATTTTAAGGTCCTCTTTCCCAAGCTGCTCTTTCAGAGTGGGCTGATTCATCGAGTTAGGTGGCAGACTCACACAGGAGAAACCGAGATTGATCCTGTCCCCTCTGTCTCCGCCAGTCTGATATTATTTCACGGTATTTCGATGGGTTCGTGCGCTATGCGGAGGGCTACGACCATCGCATCCAGTTCATTGGTGATGTTGACAGTGGGGACATCAGCATCACCCTGAGTGCTGTGACCATGGAGGACAACGGGACCTACGTCTGCGCCGTCCGCCTCCGGAACGATGAGTCCCCAAAGTCCGTACGCCTGGATCTCCAAGTCCTCGGTGAGGCGCCACAGGCAATGCCACACCCCTGTTAGACACACCTGCCCTTCCTCTAATGTCCACATTAGTTTAAACAACAGATTTTCTAAAAGCCAAAAAAAAAAAAAAGTTGTCATCCCTAATTCACCTTTGGTCTTTTCCTACTCCTGTGGAAGGATGCTGAGATGTGTAGAGCAGGCAACTCCCTCAGACACCCGGCTGTAGAAGATAGCCTTTGGAGTTGTACAGCTCGCTTTCCTAATAATCCAGGCAGCATTACAGGGCTTTCCTCATCCCCCCCTGTGGCCTGTCATATAGTTATCAAAAGACAGGTCACCTCACACTATTAGATATATCCCAAAAAGCATATTGCAATTCATTCCTTGGCTTCCCATATCCAAAAAGGGAGAAACAAATTAGATCCAAATTCACTCCAAGGTCCTTTAAGGATGTGACAGATGCAAGACCAGCCTCTGCCTGCAAGAATAAAAACCACAGATGCAGATGGGCTGAAACATGAAACTGCTTCTGATTAATACGGTTGCTTTTTTCTTCCCTCAGTTGCACCATCCAAGCCTGAGTGCAAGATTCTGGGGACACCAGAATATGGACAGACAATCAACCTAACTTGTGTTTCTCACGAGGGCTCCCCAACGCCCACATACAGCTGGAAAAGCTTCGATGTGCAAAATCAGCCCCGTGCGCTACCACACACAAAAGGTATGGGAAATCCAAAGACACGAAGGCATTGATGTCTCTGCAGTCGAGGGCTGGAAAGATTTTAAAATGCAAATACAAAAACATTCTTAAGGCTTATTCTAGGATGTTCTCTGAACAGGATTTTGAAAAGTTGTCCTTTTGATACAAGATGTGCTCATGAGTAACACAGCAGGGAGAAAGGACTCTTACCTGAAGTAAGAATGGTCAGAATTTAGCTTCAGCTCTCCCCTGGTGAGAAAGCTCTGGGAGCAGCCAGAAATAATTATTTCTCAATTGCTGGGGGTAAAGCATAACATGAGGAACAACATTGAGGTTTCTGTCTTTACATCCCAGCTTGCTTGACAAAGAGCAGATCTCTTTCTAAACAGAAGGAAACAAAAGTTGGCTCCAGAAGCTTTCTTCCAGAGAGGACCCCTCACCTAGAGGAAGGGCGTATGAGAAAGTTACAGCACTCCTGCTTGGAGCACGAAGTAGGCTTCTGGTTCTTTAGGACTGACACACAGTCCCTAATATTTTATTTGCTTTCATTTTAAGTCAGAATATGGAAGGAAAAAGGAGTGAATTCCGACAACAGGACTTTGACAGAACTATTTATACAGGAATGAGTGTTTAATGCTCTTTTAAGTGTATCAGTGACAGAGAACTCAGATTAATTTCATTAAACAACTTTGTTTTTCCCTGGCTTCGGGGAAACTAAATGTTTGTACCTACCCTTCCTGGTTTAAGGGAAGTAAACTAAAGATTGAGACTCCACAGGATAGTCTACATTCAGGAGCCGATTTTTGCATAAAATATGCAAAGGACGAAGTATCACCAGGGCCAGGAACTTCATTCATTTCACTGGCCACTAAGTGGTGCCAGCGCATCACGCACAGCCCTGAGCACAGCGGGAACTGTTACAGCAGCAGCTTCTGCTCTCACCCTGTTCTTCCCCGGGACAGGAGTCTCTGCTGGCTTGCTCCCACCTCGTTTCTGCTTTCAATGCCAAGCAATGTGCCGACTGTCCCCTGGTGCCCCAGGCTGGCTGGGTGCCCTGCTGTCACTACACGCAATTGCCTTCGGTGCTGAGCAAGTCCCACTGCTGCCAAGTGTGCAGAACCCAGTCAGGAGACACTCCAGAGCTGACAGTACCTGACCCACATTTTTTCCCATTTCACTCAATTATTTTGATTTATTAGGAGGATTTAAATTCCACTTCTAGACTGAGACTTTGAGAGCTATAAAGATCACACACACATCTCCCACACACACAAAAAAAAAAGGGTGGGGAGACAAGTTAACACCAGGAATACGTAGAGACTAAAAGAAAATAAAAATTAAAAATCAAGCAAGTATATGGTCTGTAATTTCTCAATTTGCATGCTCTTCTACTAGCTGGCACTAGGTGCCAGCAAATCCTAAACATAAAAATGAGATCGCAGGAAAACAGGAGTGTCATTACAAAGTCTTCAGTATTTTGCTATCAGATCAGGAAGCTGGACTTTTGTCACAAGCAAAAAGCATGGACTACATCTACCCATATCAGCTGGAGATGTAACAACCAGACTGCCTGAGCAGACAGAGCTAAGCTTCAACCTGTGATTCTGAGCCATGTGAGGCTGGACAGAAAACATCAGCATCACTGCAATTGTGCCACTGCAGTTCTTCTCTCTCATTTATTTACACAGCCTGTGTGGCCTCTCCCAGACTAGAAAACTTTTCCCCTCACTGCTAAATAATTAATATCTGGAACCCTAAGAGTTGCAGGATTGAGGAGCTTTCTCTTGTTTAACAAGCTAATTCATCAAGATGGCCATTTCTCAGAGCCAGGTCCTGGTTTGCACATCTGACATTTCTCAAAATCCAATACCAAAAAAAAAAGCTTTCTCTAAGCACAGACACTTCTCTCCCCTCCACCTACAATCTTCTTTCTAAAAGGAATGTTCAAATATCACATGTTCCCTGTAATCAAAACAGCAAACTTCTGTTTATCCTCCCACAAATCACTCTAAAAGGTAGGGATGAGCATGGCAGCTCCTGATCAAGACAGAGCAATCCATCAACTTTAATAACCTCTCATCGCTCCAACCACCCTGGGCTGGAACTGGAGGGCTGCTGTTGCCACTTCCTTCCCTGCTTTAATTCTTTTCTTTTTTGGCCTGATTTGTGTTTCACAACAGGGCAACAACTAACCCTGAAGAACGTCTCAGCAGACACCTCTGGCTTTTACATCTGCACTTCAACAAATACCGTGGGAGCGGAATTTTGCAACATGACAGTCAGCATCATGCCACGTAAGAGATGGGGCTGCCTCGGGGAAGAGAAGTAACGGAGAGGATAGCTTAGCTCAGAGTCAAAACACTGAAGTGTATCATCTGGTTTCTGCACACCTTTAAGAGAGACCCTCTCCACTGGTTTACATGCTGGTAGAGCCCTCACCAACTCATTGGGTTAGTTCAAAAATGACAAAAAAAGCTCTGTAGGTTCAGACAGCGCTGAATTTGTGGTGTCTGAAACTAAACTTTATACAGACAAAGAAGAACAGTTGTTCAGATGCAAGAGCTCCTCCCTGTCAGTAGCTCACACTCCTGTGCTACCCAGTACAGAACTATTTCCAGTTGCTGTAGTCAAACAAACATGGTTTCCACTCAGTCTGGAGCTGGTGGGGGGTTTGAGGTGCAGTGATTGTGCTGATCCCATTTGCCATCATTCCCCCTGCTACCTCCTCCCTTCCCACGCAGCATCCATGAACATAGCCCTGTATGCTGGCATCATTGGGGGAGTTGTTGCTGCCATTGTGGTGATTGGGATCATTGTCTATTGCTGCTGCTGCCGGAAAGAGAAGAACACCGACTATGAGATGACGTGAGTACCTCTCCCTACAGCAGTGAATGGAACAGATGAAGGGTTCTCCTTTTCCCTCCAGCATCAGCAGATGGAGTGGAAAGCTGGGGAGGAAAGAAATCTGGGAAAGCATGCACTGCTTTCTCCTTTCAGTGTCCACCCCAGTGGCTCCCATCTCTCCTCATGGAGTCCCAGACACCTTTGTGTCTCTGGGTAGAACCAAATGATTCAAACCTTGGATATGAATTAGCACACATGCTATGAGAAAAACCTCTTGCATCACCAGCAAGACTGAATATCTGGACCTCAGTTGGGTACAGTTCTAGATGAGCTTAAAGCAGTTTAAAAGCATCCCAAGGCAAAATCTCTTCAGTGAGGTTTCTGGTTTGATTAACATATGATGTTGTTAACCATCATGTTAACCATGATGATGTTAACCATCTGATTTGATGGTTTTGATTAACATCTCTACTCCTGAACAATGTTTTAGGGTGCAAGAAGACAGAAATGAACCCTCCAGGCAGATGCCACCACCAAGGAATGAGAGCATAAGGGAGGATGTGGAGAATGCATGAATGAAGAAGCCACTGCCATCTCCAGGATTGCTGAGGCACAACATCACTGCAAGAAAAGAAATCAATCCCTCTTTCTTACTTCAAGAAGTTGAATTATGAAATGAAAGCCAAAGGCTCTGCCTTCAAGTTCTGGGAGAACATTCTTGCTTCCCTGGAAAGAAGTGTTGGCTGTACAGTGAGCACTAACACACACTCTCACAGCAGAAAATGCATGTGGAGCACTGCTGCACCCAGTCATCCAAAAATAACCAGTCTTCCAGACTTCCAACTTTCTGAAAAAAGAAACCAGTCAGGTCTATTTGGAGAACATAGGAACGGAGCTGCTGATGTATCCCCAGATGTACAAAAGGTTTCAAGGTCACCAGCTGCATTTCATCAAGGAAGGGTGGTCTTGTTAACTGAGTCATGCAAATGTCACAGCTTTCACCATTGTCCAACACAGAAACTGTTTTTATGGAGGTTGAAGCAAGATGATTTTTAAAGACATTTTATTAAATGTGTTCTTTGTATATATTATACATGCACATATAAATAAAGATATGGAAAAAATCATTGATGACCAATGAATCTCCTGTTTGGGACAACAATGCATAAGAATGTCACAGGTAAGGTAAGAATTTAGATGGGCAGCTGATAAGAACTAGAAACACTCTACTAGCCTATTTACTGTCAGACTCCTGAATTTCTGAGTTCTAGCTCCCAGAGTTCCTAACTTTCATTACATTACCCTTTCCTTCTGATTATTGCATGGGCAAGTCAGAAATAGTCCATTGCTCCTGCTGCTTCTGAAAAAAATGACAATGTGAGAGCATGTACATGGCAAGTACATCCTTAATTTACAAAAAAAAAAGGGGGAGGGAAGGGAGAAGGAAAAATAACTTTTTATTCAAAATTGTAAAAATTTAATCAGAAGCATGTGGAGGGAACTCCTACCACTGGTATCTTTGGAAAAGAATGGACTGTCCATTCCCAAGGACTATCAAAGGGTATTAAAACTAATTAACAGCTTTTGGGGATTTTTTGGCTTTTTTTTTTTTTTTAAAGATACATTTGCAGTAAAATTTTTATCCTTTCAAAACTCCTTATTGCATCTTCAACTTTGGAAGTTTCAGAAACTTACAGCAATGCCTCCCACATACCCTTTACCCCCCAAACAGTTAGTGTAATAAAAATCTAAAATTTCACTTCAAAGAAGAACCAGCCATCCTCCTACACATGACCAGCATTTTCTAGATTTTAAACTATGAAAATCACCCTACCAGAACTGTAATTTTGGCTTGCTTTCTGGCTGCCTTTGTTTTACATAATACTTAAAGTACAATTACTCATCTGTAATAATAACAACTGCAAAGACCAGTGATAGGAGTTCTTTAGAAAGAATACACAAATATCTCTGGCAATGGACAACCTGAAATGCAAGACATTCTGAGGACCTTTTCTCATGATGCATGACAAAACATTGCAAAAATGGATGCCTAAAAAAGAACATTGCACGGAGAAGCTGAAGGCAGATAAAAAATGAAGTGCACAGCTCAGAAGCAGAGCTGGTATGTATTCCAGTCTCATTGTAACAAGCAAGTACAGTGTGATTTATCTAATTACCATTGTAACACATTTCTACTGTGAAACAAAAGCTACTTATTTTATAAATGTTACAGACATTAGTCAGCACAACCTGTTTCCTCCACCAAAACCCTCTGGCTGAAGAGGGCTTCTGTTGAGGGATAACAGTCTGGATTCTCAAAGATCTTAACTGCAAAGTCCAGCAAAAGGACTTGAAAATTATCAATTATTATTCTTCAAGTAACACTTGCACAGTGGTCATTTTAGGCATGAAGGAAAATACAGATTAGCAGTAAGCAAGTGCACAAAGTTGTCTAAAGAAAAATACACAAAAATACAGAGCCACAAAATACAAAGTAGTTTACATGATCCCCCAAACACGTGAATTTAATTCTCTGTAAGCAGATTCCATAAGAACTAGCAGAGGAAAAACAAGAGAGTCCAACTTGACAACAATTTAAAACACTTAAAGTTCTGCAATGATAAGCTCAGTTCTGTGATGAGAAATAAACTAAGTGGTAGCACATGGAGATATATGGCTGAGACAATTCAGGGCTGCTTATCATTTTTTACCTTTTAAAAAATACCTTGGAAGTAGTGCATTTATCAGAATGCTTTATGTGTTTTTTCCTCAACCAATTTGTTCTACTCCATCAGCCAGAAATACACAAATACACATATTCAAGCTCATTCCTTATTCCAGGGTTTTCCTGTGACTGAATTAATTTCCTGACTGTCTTGTATGTCTTTTGAAGCAGGAATAACTATAAGAGTTACCTGTAGTATAGCCACAACCTTATGCAAAACTAAACCAGCAATAATGATTTTGGAGGGAAGATAAATTAAGCTAGTAAAACTTAACTAATTCCAAAGAGTTAATGTATGTATACCAAACTTCAATAACCGCTTCCCTCAAAAGGCAGGAAGGAGGGAGAAAATATATGACCAGTTAGAAAAGTAAATTCCTACTTTATCCTTTACATAGCAAATAGTAAACTACTGTTTAGTTATGTTCAACTTTCTTTATTCACAAATTTATCACAAAAAACAAACAGGCTGGTCAGGCATGATTTAGCATTGGCATATCCATGCTGACTCTTTCCAGTCCCCCGTGTACCCAAAAACACATTCCAAGAGGACCTGCTCCATGATTTTTCCAAAGGGTGCAGTGGAACTGAGCAGCCCTAGATCACCATTTTGACAGACGGGTGCAGTATTTGCCTCCCGTTGCTGTGGACTTCCTGTGCTCTCTGTGACCTTCCAAAGGTGAGAGAACAGCCTCAAAAAGGTGTCAGCTTCCCCAGCATCCTGGGATGCAGCATGTCTGGCTCCAGGGACTGCATGGGTCTGGAACTCTCCCACTGCTGCTGTTCTCCTCCCTGAACCCTTCCTGGGTACAGATTTGCTTTCCAAACAACATCCTGACAGCCCTGGCCACTATTTATGGATTCTTCCTTTGTAGCTCAGACTTGCTTCTCCCTCCCTTACACTGCACCAGGACTAGGATGCAGCCACAAGATCCCTGTCAAGACAAGAGAATCTTCCCAATAAATCTCCCTGTATTCCTGACTTGCTCCTGGTGTTTGGGAGACACTGTCCTTAATGAACTGCCAACCTTAATGTTCCTTTACCCCATGGAGCTGGCCCCAGGGATTCCAGCCCTCCCCATTTCCCACACACAACATCCAAGATCTGCTCTCATTGCCTTCCCCACTCTTCTCAGGATTTTGGGAAATATTTCCAGTACTACAGACTGGAAAAAGACTACACAAAATCTGGTGCTGCCACAGCCCACTTCAAGATTCAGTACAGCACACAATTCACAACTTGTCAGAAAGATAAGAGTTAATTATCTCACCATCCCTGTTGCTAGAGCAACTGCACTCCTTTTCTGTTTATTTGCATCAACTGTTCCAGGAAAGACACCGAGGCAATGTTCTGGCTGATGAAGTTCACAGTGCAATGATCCAACCTCCAAGATTAATTCTGGATGTGTTGGAGCTATTACTAAATTTATTACAGCCCAACATAAGGGAATTTGTAACTTCTACTGCACTTCACCTGTTCACTAGGCATTGAAGGGAATTATTTAAAAATAGCAGTTAGAGAAGTTTATGGGAGCCTCTAAGACAGAACCACAGAAAAGTGAGGGAACAGAGATAATACCAGGTTAGAGTACTAGAAGTGTTTGCCAACTTCATTTTACCAAAACATTGCAATAAAATTTATTGGCCGCCACTCTAGGGTGACAGTGAGTGATCAGAATTCTGCAGAAATCATCAAGGGGGCAGAAACTAGATAAACTTGTTTTTCTCCTTCTCCACCACAGTACACTTAGTCTGCCAAAAGGAATGATGTTGTTAAAACCTTTGCAGTCAGCTGCAGCTACTTCTATCTTTCAACCAGAAAACAAACCCAGTTTCACACATATACTTGAGTCACTTCAGTTTTGGGTAAAGTTTGAAATCTTTGCCAGCAAAAAGGTTTAGCATTTCTAAATTCAACTAACAGGTCCAAAAGCACAGCCCCTCTATGATAATTATGTAGGTTTTTAAAAAACTTACCGGAAAAAGAAAAATACAACTGTTTTACAAGAAAATCGAGACAGGGTTTCCTAGAACAGTGGTTTTCATTCACCCAAAACAAGTACTTATTCAGAAGAATCTGACCTTCAGCACACCACGATTTAACTGTGACAGCTCAAGACCCAGAATCACTGAAATGGCAGCAAGTTTCCTAGTGAGGAACGACTCAGCATGGACCTCCCTCTAGCAGCTGGCACAGGACACACCCCATGGAATGAGTATCGGCTGTTGCTGTTTGATCCAGGATCACAGCACTACCTCCTCCAGCCTGACACCTGACAGATCCTCCACACAGAAAATCCCCACCAAATTCCTGCCTTGTTTCTATCTTCTAGGCTTTGGATGAGTGACACATTGCTAAGGATGCAATAAAGATTAGACACAGCAAACAGTCTCTGGTAATGTAACAGTTATAATGCAGATCCCAGAACTGGCACAGGCATCAAGAGTCAAGGGATAGACTGGCTTCCCTTCTCACACTCGCTGTCCAGCTGCTTTTCTCACACTCGGGAGGTGAGGAGGGAGAGCTCTCTCCATGTGAGAGGGCAGCTGGAATGCAGAGCTCCACCTGGACATCTGGGAACAGACAATGAGCCAGTCAAAGCTCTTGGGTTGGACACAGAGGACAGGCCAACATGGGTGACACTCCAGGGGATGTCTGCTGCAGGTAGCCCTGCCAGAGGGAAGCTGTCAACGCCTTCTTCAGACTCCTGTGAGGAGCCAGACATTCCTGACACAAGTGACCGAGGAGCCGAGGTGGTCCCTGCTGGATCTCATCCTTACAAACGTATCTGGTCAGGGATGTGAAGGGCAGAGGGAAAATTTACCTTCAGTAACCAGTAAATAGTGGAGTCTAGGATCCAAAGAGGGAGGAGAACAGCAAAAAGCAGCATCACAGTCCCGTGCTGTGATGCCTCTCCCTCAGGAGCAGTCCTTGGCCTTGTTCAGAGATCTGCTTAGAAGACTCCTGTGGCACACAGTGCTGGAAGTCGAGGCAAGCCTGGTAAGTTTTCAAGTATCACCTCCTCCAAGACAAACAGCAAAACAAGCAGAGGTTGACCAAAGAGCTCCTGACAGAACTCACCCCTGAAAAGGAAATTCACAGGAGACAGCAGCAGGGACAAGTGACTGGGGAGAAACACAGAGGTGCTGTGTGTGCGCAGGTACGGGGAGAGGAAAGCCAAAGCACACCCAGAGCTGCATCTGGTGAAACACATGGAAGGCAAAAAGAAGGATTGCTGTGGGTGCATCCGAGTGGGAATGGGCACCTGGTCATGAAGGACAAGGCTAAGGCCACCTTCACCTTGGGCTTTAATGGTAAGATCAGCCTTCCAAAGCAAAATTCTAATTGAAGACAGCAAAATCAAGTTTTGCTGTATGTACAGTATGCATATGTGTATCTGAGAGAACGCTGGAACTTCTGCCACATCCCTGGTTCCTGCAGTTTAGTGGAAGAAGTTAACTGTTACTTATGCCAGCAATGCATAAGTAACAGTTAAATTAAAAGAAGCAGCAAGTGCTGCTTACTCTGTGTTAAGATACTTCATTTTTTCAGTATGTTACATACTCTAAATAGAATGTAAAAGAATATGATTACAGATCAATGTACTGATGTAGACTAGATCAGCAAATCTGTCACTGCAGTCAGTGTTTTCATGACCCTCAGACAACTGTTCTGGACAAAACCTTTAGAGTAGCAATGCACAGTCTCCTACTATTGTAACAAGAGCAAAAACACCTAATAACTTTGCAACGTGTGTGTTAAACCAAGATGATTTTCACCCATTCCTGTCAGGGGAGTGAGTCAGCTGCTCTAAGAGGAGGGCAGAAAGTCAGGTCTGATGGATTCTATCAGATATCTCCTCGACAAATACAGCTCTTTAGCCAGTTCAACAGATGTGCTACCAAACACCCGCATGCAGTGTTGGCACCATTACATTTTATCCTGTGGAAGGTACATGTTTATAGAGCTCCCAGGCTGCACCACTCAAACTGTTCTAGAGCCATTCTGCCCTCTCTTGGTTTTATGTCTCCTTGAGAATTTTGTCCTGATTTTGGCACAGTTTGCACGTTGCCAGTACTGCTCCTTGCGCTTAGGAAGTGGCCTAAGGTTGCAATCCCTCATCTTTACTTTTCTTTACTTAAAGGAGAGAAGCATTACTTTATTGTGCTTGTTTTTCAGAATTTATTTTTCCAGAAATCAACCAGAGTCACAAATTGCAGAACAGCCAGGGAAGCAGAGCTCCAAAATAAAAGAATTTTCTATCATCCTTCAACAGCTGCTAGGGTTCCCCCCTCAATAAATGCAGAATAGCAGTATGAAATGAGCATTAGTAAAAGGCACAGATCTTAGGATTTTTACTATTAAAAAACCCCTCTAGAGTTGTTGGTTATTACAGTTAAGACAGTTACTGCCCCAGTTAACAGCCCACTGCCTACAGCATGTAATTAGATCTTCAACATCTTATGTGCTATTTTAATTTACAGGTGATAAGGTACAGATATGCCATGGAACCCTAATGGCATTTTCCCACTTCTGCTCACATTCTTTATCTCAGCCTTCATATGTAATGCAATTAAGCTTAGTAAAAAATATTCTTAGGTTTGTGTACTTAACACTGAATAAGTATTTTAACAATTTTTAATTAATTCTCTCCTACAGAAGAACTGAAACAAACTTTTATAGCAACAGTGAACTCTGAAAATACTTCAAAAACAATAGTTCTTTATATTATGAAATATCAATGCAGCAATGGCTATCAGTTAAGGAATTTGGACAACTCTATACAAATGCAGAAAAGCCTTCAGCACTACTTGATAGACACTCTCAGTCTGGTACAACATTCCCGGGTGTTTCATTGGTAAATTTCAGCCTTGGAGCTTTACTGTCTTTTATTTGGTGAAAATCAGCAGGTAGGACAGCAGTCTCCAAGAAAGGAAATACCGCGTCAATTGAGGAAATTCAATGATAAAGGTGAACAGTTAGGAAAGAACAGAAATGATTCAGTGATCCTAAAACACTGGAAGAAAGGGTTGAACTGGCCTTACAGCAACTGCAACAGGTTTCCAACTAAACCAGCATTTGGCCTTTTCTGACACACTGATCAACATGCACAATAAACCTCTTATTTTGGCTGCATTTTGGGCTTTGCTTGCATTGGTTTTGTTGGGTTTTTTCTTTATTCAAGGGGATGAACCACCTCATCTTGAGTTTCACTACCTACAAGGAATGAAATCTTCACACAGTTAGTTGCTATGGAAATAATATTTCAAAACTGGACATCTGTTGGTACAAAATCTGGGAACAACTTAACAAAATAAGCTCTTATTTCTCAGAATCACTTGCTTAGGAGACACATGGACTAAGCACAAGGCTCAGACAGACAACTTTTTGGGGATTAGTCCAAGCACTACCTCCATAAAAAGCAACATCTAACTTTCCTAGAAAATGTCAGTGTCCCACTTTTTTATGTGCCCCCAAATAATGATGCCTGGTATCTACCCAGCTTGACTAAACTCTTGTGAAATGTATCAGTTTGAATTTGATACTTAAAAAAAAAAAAAGAAAAAAACCAGAACAAAACACCAAACCAACCCCATAACACCTACGCTTCTCTTCAGCCTCTAAGTTTGAGGGACATGCATTTCTTAAAAAGAAAACTGATGCAAATAAAAAAACCCAAACCTGTGCTGTACTTGTTCCTGATGTATATAATACAGCCTGTGCCTCTAAGAACATTAACAGAAAGATAAATTTGCCACAGTATTTCTTTCAAGACATCTTATACAAAATCTGCTTTCTTTGCCTTGAAAGACCACTCAAATTTTTCATGGCTAAAACTGATATATTACAGCAAACTTTTGGGACTACTGACTTTTAATTAATTCCCCTATGGCAGCCCTTCACACCTTCAGTGCTTTCCCCCCTGCATCAGTTTTTGAAGCAAGACTTTTACTGAAATTCCATCTTCCACAAGCAGTAGACAGGAGGGTTTTTAAAAAAAGAAATAAAGCAAAAAGTTCAAATTGTTTCAAGTCACACTGGTCCCTAAAGAATTCTTCTAATTCAATTACATTGATTAATCAATCTTGAATTTGCACTCTATTCATTAAGAAATACAACTAGTACAGCATGCAGTTTAAAAGATGTGACTGTCAGGTCCCTTCAAATTAAGTCTTCCTGTAGATAACTAACAAGATTTTTTTATCTTCTTTAAATCCACTCAATAGTTTTACCATTCTAACAAGAACTTCAACTGTCAAGGTTTGCGCAGAAGATGAAAAACTGCAGTCTGGAGAAACTACTAGTTATCTTAGGGAAACAAAATTATAATTTACAGCTGTCCTGGATGTGTAAGAGATTTTCAATTACTGAAAGACTTGGACAGATCAGGTGCAGTTCTCAGCAATCGAATAACTCCTCTTCCTTGTACAACATTTGCTTCACAAGGGGAGGTCTTCACACCACATGGAGAGTCACCTATTAAATTAAACACAGTTTGCACATCAAATCAGCCTTTAAAGCTTGCATAAATTAATGGAATTGTCCTTCATATGCTGTGGAGCTGAACCTTTTCAACACCTCTGATACAAAAAGTCAGGCAGGTCATGTCCTCCATAAACACCAAGACTGTAAGATCAAAATTTCCAGGTGGAACAGAGTTTAATTCTGCATGAATCTTATACACAAGAAATCAAGCTGCAAACTCAGAATTCTTACAGTTATTTATTTTGCAAATAAATTGATTCTGCTCCTCTGAAGGTCAGCTACAAAACACCCTGATGAACTGAGCTCAAAGGCCTTTGAGCAAAAAAATCCCTTTTGCAAAAAGAGAAGTGTTTTAACTGAGTTGTGACAAGAACACTTGCAACAAGGACCAGCTCAGTCTGTACATATGATGACTTAAGAACATATTTTCAACATGGCCCCGCTTCAAAGCTCCTTGGCATGGGAATGGCTTCATGTAACAGAAAGGCATAAATCAGAGAGCAACATTTCTATGAAAAACTGAATTTTAAAAGACATTTTTGACTTTAAGATTGTCCATTAAGAAAAAGCCAGCTCTTAATGCTTGAGTCTTCAGAAATTCAGTGAAATCCACACACGAGAATAAGCACAGCTCACACAAAACTGTGCACTACTTACAAGCAACATCTAAACCCAGAGGTTTCAAAAATGCAACAACTGGATTAAGTTTAACATTTTTTTAAGCAGAAAGAGATCTTTAAAGTTTCAAACTCACAATTAGAGGGGACAAACTCTTGATCCTGTCTTGGAGGACCCAAAGTTTTGTCACATCCAGAACTCTCATTTTTGGTTTTCTGTATGAAAAAATAAATACTCAAAATGAGGTACATGTATCTGCTAACATGAAATAGACATCATGATCCATCAAACCTATGAATCATGGTCAAAACCCTTCAAGTTCATCAGTCTGCCCAACATATGTCACAAAAGACAGCATCCAAAAACAAAACAGCTCACCTGAAATTGGCAACTGGAAATAAATCAGGGTATCAACTGAAAGAATCTGACCTGGATATGTCTAGCATTCAGCTTCACAATCCTGGTACTTGTGCTTTGATCACAATCAGAGCCTTGCAGAGGGAGGTGAGCTGCTGTTAGTGGGACTCCATACGCACTAGCAAAGGATTTACTGATGCAGTAACTTGACCAAGAAAAAAAGGAAAACAAGAAAAGTTTGGCTAAGAGGGCTGGAATGCTGATGTGTGGAAGCACAGCATTTTATGTTCTTCAACTGGCAAAAAAAAGCAGCCAAAGCCTGATAGGCACAGAACAAACAGATACCAGAGGGCAGAAGGACCTTATGGCAGCATCCCTGCATCCTTCCAAGACCACCAGTCTGTTGTACAATTACACATGAAATAAAAACAAACTGCTCCCCCACATAATCAAATGCAGCACTTGGAAGTGTGAAAAGCTTTCTTTTTTGGGGCATAGCAGTCCAAGATGAGTTTTTGCCAATGAAAAGACTACTTATTATTGTCTCTCTAAGTGCTACTACTGCTGTCAACAGAGTCAAAAATGGCATTTCCTTGTTTCCCAACTATTTACTTTTCCTTTCTCCCCACCAAAAAGATAGCAGAACCTTCTGTATCTACACTGTATGTCAGGAAGTATAGAAGTTTTCAAAGCAGAGCTATGCCAGAGCCTACTGAGAATACCTCTGAAGTCAAACAGTGAATTCTAATGTGATTAACACTTTTCTCACCATTGCAATGCTAGCAAAATAAAAGCCATCACACTGGAGACAACTCCTCAGCAACACTCACCCCATTTTCTTACAGGATGCCAGAGCACAGCAGATGATATCCTTCTCCTCATGCCACTTGCACCTACATGAAATGAAGTTCAGGCTTATTTCAGAAGCACCTACATTTGTTAATCAACAAGAGCAGTTGGTCTGTCCAGATGAACAGGAACAAATATTAAAAATGTTATCTTTTTGTTGCAGCGACCATGCAGTACCATTAAAATTTCACAGAGTTCAATAGCTTTGCCCTAAGTAGTTGATGCAGTGTTTAAAGGTTGGCTTATCAGGCAATCTGCTTCATGCTGAGGTGGGGGGCAGGGAGAATAGAGAACCCTAAGAGACAAATGGAATTTAAACCATTTGAACCATTTCAAGCTTCCCATTAATGTGAAATAGTACCTCATAGCATAAATATCCTCACTTTCCTCTCCAAATGTGTCTTAAAGTACATTTTTCCATTCTCCTTAAGGTCTCCCTCTAGGGTGAAGACATTCATGGAAACAGAAAACTACCTGACTATAAAAAGACAAAGTGACAACGATGAACCCAATGGATCTTAAAATCCATATTCCAAGCAGACTTCCAAGAATAACTTACATGGTTTTTCTAAAATCTACTGAAATTTACAATCAAATTATTGGTTCTTTTCTTAAATTAGCAGCAGAAGAAGCACTAGAGTCTATTTCTAAATAAACTGCATCATCACCCAATAAGCTCCTGCAACACTGCAAGCAAGTATCACTTTTTGTATCAACACAGAAGAATCTGAAAACAGGCACACTTACACAGAGAACCACCCAACACACCTGGTATTATAAGAGAAATCCCAGAGGCAGACATCTAGTTTTCTATACACCCAGATCTTGGATGGCTCTTTTTGGTATTTCTTCTGGTACAGTTCCATTATCAGGTCTTCCACAGTAAAAAGCTCCCAGTGGCTCTCAATACCTATAGTTCAGTGAAAATCCAGACCAGGAGAACAGGAGTCATTGATTATCCTGCTCAGCTCATTTCTCAGTCAGTCCCTGTTCACTGTCCAGCCTCTTATCACAGCATCAAAACTCAAAGATATTCCACCAGTGGTTTTAATAAAACCTGGCTTCCTAGAAAGTGGCGGGAGAAAGGAAGAGGAAGGAGCATGCAAACCAGTTCTAGCTATCAGCACCAGCTTTTAGGAAAACTTTGAGACATACTTTTCAGACAAATACAGCTGTCCATGACTACACAGCCCTTATTTCTGGGAGCAGGAGGGAAAAAGGATGGACAAAAATGATCCATTTCCTACCTGTTATGCTGACCATTCGACCAAGACACCAGTTAATTCGGAATCTGTCATTAGACTGGAGGAAAAAAGATTTCTGTCATCTCAAAGGAGTACAGTATAAAATTCTGACACTTCCGTGACTTCTGTCTAGGTCTGAAAAAGTCACCTCCAAACCCGAATTGTTTGTGGCACTGAATGCAATCTCCCTGACAACTATCTTGAAGAGGAACCAAATTTCATGCATATTTCTTCAGAGCCCTGTATTTATGGATGGAGCCAAAGATCCTGTCCCTCTCTACTTTTTAAGGATTAAGATTAGGCTTGAATTGAATTGAAACATAATATATCTGTTATGAAACTTAAACACCTCTGAATCCTAACATTATGTTCTGCTCCCAGGAAAATGAAACTTGAGCAAAAATTTAAGACACGTGTTATTCTCACGGGGAAAAGAGTCATGAAAACGTAAAAATATCCTTTCAAAAAAGCAGGATTTATGACTATTACTGAGCACATCCAATTTAAGTCAAATCTTAGGAGCCCTTAACCAAAGTCATAACAATGTCAGAGAACAATAGACCCTGTTCATCAGTAGATTAGAGCCAGAAGTGCAGGCTGAAAATAAGAAGGCAGGAAATTAGGTCTCTGCTTTATAAAAAGGTTGGCTTCTAGAGGCCATTTCTTCCTGCACAGAACTGGGACACTTTGGAAAAAATGTCTTTCCCCACTTATATGCACACTGATTAGGTTTTAGAGTGAAGTCATCCAACAGTGAAAACAGAAGCTGAGATTTGGAGCTTTGACCTTGACCATACCCTGCAGAAGAAGCGAGGCTGAGCACCTGTGGCTGGCTGGGCAAACTCAAGAAGTTCCCGTAGGACAACTGCGTAACAAGAACGAGGAAGATGAAATCCAGATATGGGGATCTTATGGGTTTCATCACCTAATGGAGGGGGGAAGAGGGACAGGATAAAAAAACAAATCAACAAAAACCACAAAGTTGTGAGAAGTCCAGTTTACTTAAGAGATACAGTTCCCTCCTCCTTTTTATCTTTCTGTATACATATGTGTATGCACACAAACACACACACACACCCTTCCTCTCCACAGACAGGGTCTGTGTTAAGCTACCAAAACTTTGTTTCTGTCAGCAGCTCTGGCTGTGAGCAAACACTCACACTCCTGCCCCTTTTAACAGGCCATTATCCAAGTATCAGATGTAGGAAAACAGGCCAAGTTTGTTCCCTCTGTACACAAGGAGAGGAAATGTCCTAAAAGAAACAAACTGGAGTCTATAAACATTACTGAGAGTCACAGAAGAAACAGGCAAGCCAAGCCAGACACAACAACGGTCTAAGTATTTTAATTTTGTTAATATATGCCAAGCTGCAAAACATAACTTTTAAATATAAAGCGGTATCTTTGAGTTACCCTGTTGTTAATTAGCACTTCATGCCAAAGATACACACAAGGACTATTGAGACTTACACAACATATGGATAGAGGTCAGATAAGCTGAGTCTAAAACTGCACACCTTTGCACACCATTCTTTATCTCCATTAATACTCACCAGCAGCCTGGCAGTGGTAGCGAAAACCACGTGGTGGTACTTCTGCAAAAAAAGAGGAGAAAGCACAATCATCCAACACCAACAGACCCAAACTCTCAATTACACACCACAGCTCCATATGCAGAAAGGAACAGCATCTTCCCTTGTAGCCTTGTAAAAGTGCCACAACTGCCTTTGGGAAAGTTATTTTCAGTTATATGCATTTTTAAAAAAGTGCATTGTAAAGGGTGTTTAGGTCCAATTGACAGAAACATTCATTCACGTGAAATATAAAGCACAAACATGTGCGGGTCATCCTGGATTTAGCCTACCCTCTTCGGAGTTACATGAAGTTCTGACACTAATCCTCTTCAGAAACAAGTTCAGCACTGCTCTGTTATTTTAAGAAATTATCCAAAATGACCATTTATAATGAAAGAAATAAACTTGTCTTAATACCAGAAGTCTAACCTGGGCAGCAGTGACTCCAGAAAGCCTCCCTCTCACCCAAGTACCTCTCTGACTTTCTTGGAACTCACCTGGATCTATGAAGTGGTGGAAATCAGCCACAATGCCATCTTGTAGGGAATATCTGACACACCCAATCTCACAAGGAAGGAAGCGCTGCTCGCAGTGGGGTGGCAGCTTCCCATAGCTGTAAATGTCCAGGAAGTAGAAGATATCTTCAAGCATATCTGAAAGAAAAAGAACAAATCCATCTTCAGACAAACCTCCAGAGGTTACAGAAGCCATGCTGGTTTCACCTCATCCGGACAAAGCTTTGGTGAACTTTCTCCTGTCACTGGGTGAAGAAGGGTAAAAACCAAGCAAAACACACAGCTCTTCCTCTGTATCCAAGATGACAAGATAACACCACTTACACAGAATTCAAGCACACTGGTACTGCTGATACACCTTCCAGAGATCCCACTGTGTGTAGAGATGGGCAAAAACCCCAACAAATACAAGCAACTAAAAAAAAAAAATAGCCAACCTCCAAACCTACAAGATGTTAAGAGGCATACAATCCAACAGGAACAATTATTCTCTTTAAGGATAGATCTCGTTGCCCTTTCAGAAAATAAGGTTAGGGAAAAACCAAATCAGTAGCTGCAAAACAGCCTCACAAGCTAAATTTGGCAGCTTACACCACTTAAATGAGTTGGGAGTAATCTTACAGGGCAAGAAGATGAGAAGTCTGCTAATTAAAAGGATTGCTTCATCTCCACTAAATGAGCTCCCAAAGCAGCAAGAATACCCAACACAAATGTTAAGGAATAGATTTATCATTTACTAATTAAAAAGTATCCAACTATGATAAATATCTTTCAATACACCTTAATCCTTCTCTTCACAACTGTCACAATGCCCTCAGTGAAATTTAACATAGCTGTCTAATCCTTACTCTAACCTCATCAAAAAAAATCCTATTTGCTCTACTAGAGATGTGTAACTGTCTTTACACATAAGTAATTTTGTATGCCAGACTTTAGGACATTTAACACCAGTTGCCCTAAGCCCGAATTTGAGCTGAGGGGTCATAGGAAAGACACCTCTCCTACAGTATGAAAAAACGGATATAGCTCCAGGGAACCATACAAAACTTTAACTGAGAAATATTAAAAGCAGGATCATAAAACGCATCTCAATTATCCTTTATCATTATGCCTCTCATTCAGCTGAAAGATCAGTTGTGTCAACTCAAGCCAGCATGATCAGCCCAATCAAATCTGCATCACAATGACAGCAGAGCATGACCCCTGGCACAGAGGGCACTAATAAGCATTTCACTTTTTATGGAACTACTGTTTCTTGCTCTCCCATAACCATGACAACATGAAAACAGTTCAGGAGTCTGAGTTAAAAAGCTGGACCTCAGACTTAACAGCACAGCAGATACAGCTTATACGAACTGGCTTCTTGACTAACTTTATAAGCACTACCTTCTATCATTTTTCAGAGTAACATAATATTCGTTGGGTAGAAGATTATAAATGTATTCACTACCCAACTCTAATTAGAACTACCATTTGAAGACAGGTACAGGTTAGAAAGGTTTAGTTTTCAAGAGTTCTTTCAATAAGGAAGTAAGGATGTTAAAAAAGCACTGACAGAGTGCATATTCCCTCTTATTCTCCCACACTGAGGCCAAGACCCTTGTTTTATTTAATACCTCTATCATACAAATTTTTAACTTTGATATCTAACAATTCTTAACCTTTTGAAATCAGTACAAGTATTCTTTTACCCTGAACTTGGATTAGGCCTTGTCAAATCATTAATGTACAACTTGAAAAAATACTTTTTTCCTTAAAAACCTTGAAATAACAGTTATGAAATTGTTGGTGGCTATATTCCCATTGAGCTAAAAAACAGGATAGAATTCTTAGAGGCTGGAGGAGGAGCGGTATTTTCCCTGATGTCCCTCTAGCTTTCACAACAGTAGCCCAGTAGTGTAAAACATCTGACACAGATGGCTTTTAGCAAAATATAATCAGTCTTTTACAGGTATCACTAAGAATGTCCTCAAAGGGAAAGCTCTCATTTACCAGGATCAACTGCTTTAAAATTACCATACCCTGATCATTCTTCCAAGACAGAGCACAGGCAGCTGGCGATGGAGTAACACTGGGCATCTTTGTGGTCATAGCAGCAGGAACTGGATCAGGCACCTTACAAGTCTGGAAAGGATGAGAAATTTAAAAAAAACAACAACAGTCTTCTCGCCCCAAATAAAATCCTTCAGCTCCTTATATCAGAGGAAGATGCAATATCCACTAATAACTGTGGTTAGGTGGAAAAGTTTTATATAAAAAAAGTGCCTGTCTACTTGCAGGCCAGGAAGGAAAGATTTCTCTTCAGCACCTTTGTCAACCCATTACAACTTTAAAGAACAACAGCTAAATTTATAAAATGTAATAGAAAAAAAAGTATTTTCTTAGGTTCAACCACTTGTCACAGGCAAGGAACTCTTCAAACTGGAATTTAGAACTTTACTCCTTAAGTTTTATGAAAAAAAGCACCTGGCACATTTGTTAGTTGTTTTTGACTAGGAAACAGGTTCATTAAAAGCTGATACAGCCTTAAGGAAGTCACTGGATTGCTCTGAAAATCCATTAATGAACAATAAGCTTCTAATAGGATGGGAAAAAAAACCTGGCAGCCTTATAGAACCTGATCATTCAAACCCAAATTGGGAGTAACATCCACATCCAGGTGAACTGATTGCAGACAACCATCTTAGCCAAAGTTAATTGGTTATCAGTTTGAAGTATTTAAAACAAAATAAGGAATTATTCCCACCTGAGTAAGCTTTGGCCAAAAAAAACCATTCCAGAAGAGGAACATGACCTTTCACTACACAAAGTGACCATGGTTGTCTGTGTACAGGGCTGGGATTAATAAAATGAGAGCACATAATCTCATATATCCATATTTGCCTATTTCCACTAACACAGTAAGGATGGTGATCTTTATTCTGGTAAAGCAACTATTCCTCTCCCTGACTGTAATCTTCTAAAATGCTACAACTTGTGGAAGGAAACACAGAAGTCTCCATTTGTGACTTACCTGTTGTTTCACTTAGCTCTCTCTGACATATAAAAATGGAGTTTCATTAATTACACATGCTCAGCCTGCTAAATGACACAATGATGACCACATTTTAAACAGCTTTTTCCCAGACAGGCAGGCCCCCCAAAACAGGAAACATTGCCTAACACCTCCCTTCTCTAGTCTAGACTGACTAATTTAACTAACCCATTTTTACTAGTTACTCCAAGCTATGACCATCCTGTCATTCCCTCTACCACCACGTAAGTGAATTAAAGTCCTGGGATTTATCTTCACCATTAATTCACAGTTTACAGTCATTATCTAGTAAGAGAGCATTAAGAAGTAAATGCAGTATTCTCCATTTACTCCATCAGTAAATGTGACTTTCTTTCCTTAGACACACAACTTTTTACATACCAACAAAGATTTCAATAATGTAAGTTCACACCTTACACAATTCAAACTCTTGAGTAACTCTGCTTCAGTGAAGTGCTGGGACAGGAAAAGAGACAGACACAAACAAACGGGACAAACACCTTTTCAAGGCAGTACATAGCAGAAATTATCTATTTAGCAGCATTTCCAACCACAACCATACACATTTAACCTCCTAATTCTATACTGTTCTCCAATAGTAACAGTGTTACTACTCTCTCCCATATCCAACCAACCCAAAAATAATGGCAGGGTGTAATTATTCATCTTGGCTATAGGCCACAACATTATACTGACATTTCATTCACCACACAGCTCCTCCAGAACACTAATCAGCTGTCTCTAAGATGTGCTTTCAGGCCATCAGTCAAGAACTGCCTAAACCAATAACACCCACAAAACAAAAGCAACATGAACCTAAGACAAGAAATAACACAAATTTACAGCATAAATTAAAAAAATAAAAAATAAGTCAGGCATAGCAAAATACTGTTAAACATAAAGCTAGGGTGTTAGAGAGCTACATTTCACTTGATAGAAGAGCCCGAACAAATAAGTTGTGATGGTTTAAAGAGTCATCAAGTATTTTTACCTTCAATTCAAACCAGAACAATTATGCACATAACACACATAATGGTAAGTACTGCTAGTGCAGCTGTAACCTCCAGAGGCTGGAGAATGTGGAGAGCAGGTGGAACTTCCACACCATCCTGTGGAACTGACCACAAAGAGCCCAACACCATTTACTCCTCCTTCTTACTGAGGGCGTCCCATTCTCTCAGCATTTACCTCCTTTACTGTCTTCTGAGAGCATTTCTTGCTATTCAGCTTATGAGCCTTCTCTGCAAACATTGTCTTCTCTTCTTCTGTCAGGGACTTAAAAGAAAATTAGCTGTTATAAAAAGGTTTCTACCACTTCCTTTTAGTAGTCCCGCAAACCAACAAACTCCATGCGTAAGAAATCACTCCTGCACTTCCAAAGGACATTATCGATGGCTGCCAAGAATGACTTAAACACTCCCAAGTGTTTTTTTCCTAAGAAAACTGTAAGCCTTGGTTACAAACACGCAGTAAGGCGAAGGGTTTTTTTGCCCTCCGAGCGAGGGCAAACCACAGGCAAGAGACCTCCTGGAACTCCTCCTGCCAGCCAGGGATGGCAACACCCACCCTCGGCACAGGAACCAGAGCTGCCCCCGCGCTGAGGGGAGGCCAGCACAGCCACCTGAGGCCACACAGGGCAGCCACTGGAGATGGCGCCGAGCCGCCCGCCAGCCCACCCTCCAGGAGAGGCCCCGCCGACCTTCGCTTCCCGTACCTGGGAGCAGCAGGGGACGGCGTCCGCCACCTGCTCCAGGGGCAGCCCGCACCGCTCCAGCTCGGGCAGCTGGTCGTGCTCGAAGGACGAAAAGGCGCTGCGGGAGCGGCGAGAGCGTCGGGAGCGGGCGGGCCG